CATCGGTGGAGCCCATGACGGCGTTCTGGGCGGCGGAGAGGCCGTAGAGGGCGCGGAGGGCGTGGGGAGTCTCCTTGCGCGCGACGTCGGGGTCGGGGTCGCCCATGAGAGAGTGCCAGACCTCGACGGCGCGTCTGCGCTCGAGTACATATACCCATACTGGGCCCCTGAGAGGTGGCGGAAAGGGGAAAGGGGGCGCAGATTAGGGACTGAGAGAGGAAGCGAGGAGGAGTGCGGAGACTCACTCGGCAAAGGACTCGTAGTCGCCTCCGAACAACTCGAAGAGCGTCTCTGGGTCGGTCTCTATGTCGAACTCCATCTGTCTTTCCTTGACGATCTGCAATTCGGACGCGATGAGCATGTGAAGGGGATGCCACCGGAGCAGGCATGCGCACCTCGAAGCCTGCGTCGGATATGCGCAGCTCGATATCGAATCTATGGCTGAGTGCATGGTTCTTGATGATGGCGACCGTGCGCGTAGGGGGAGAAGAAGGACTGGACACGATCTCTCCGGGAGCATGGGGAGGGGAAGAAGGGGCGGACATGTCTGGCAGAAGGCGAGAAGGAATGAAGGGCGAGACAGCTAGTAGAGTATTGACAGAAGTAAAGGGGGACGAATGGGGACGCCAGGAGAATGTATGAAGGAAAGCAAGGTGAACTGGACAGCCCAGAGTCCGCGGAGGAGGGTCTGCGAGCGTATGTTCAAGTTGGGAGGCGTTTGAGTTGGAGGAGGCTGCCTCTCCCGCTCAACTCAGCCGCAGACAGACACCCGGTGCTGGACCCCGCACACCCCTCCCGTGCCCTCATATATTATGTGCGCCCCCCGTGTCCACCCCCACGCACAAGCATCGGACAAGTTCTGGTGAACGTCGCCAAGCACTGCTGTTGCTGCTCTGTTCTGCACGGCCGCTGAGCTTTTACTCGCTCTTCTCGTCTTCAGCTCCAGCTCCAGTCTTGCAGCGCACTTGTGACCGACGCGTACCTGCGCGATCCGTCACACAGTCACACCTGCCTTGACAACATCGGCGCTTCCCCTCGCTTCCTCACAGGTCATGATCTCACAGTGCGAGCTCCGGCTCTGCGACAGCCCTTGTGCCGTCGGGTATGCCCCTGATGCATATCTGCAACAAGGCTGATATCGTTCACAGCAGATGGCTCGTTCGATCGTCATCCAGAGCGGCAAGGACAGCTACAAGATACAGGCGTCGTAATGGGTCGTAACAGGTCGTGACAGGCCGTGGAAGAGGGTATACAAAGTCAAATACGCGGGTCCTGCTAACATGTCAGCATCAACCTCGTAGAAAACCGTCGCATCCGCCCGCAACACTTACTCGGAAATCGGGCGCAGTCAGCTTGAACGCTTCTCAGCACTTTTCTTGCCCGTGGTGGTGGTGGTGGTGTTTCTGCCGTCCCACCCCGCAGCACTCGCACACCACGACGCTCATGAGAATCATCCCGACAAAGCTCAGGACGACCCCCGCCAGGACCATCCAGAGCGCCGGCCCCCAATTCGCAACGTAGTTGAATTCCGTCAACGGCCCGATGCGGTCCTTGCCGACGATGATGAGCGCGAGGTCGACCCCGAACACGACGAGGCCGACGAGCAGGTTGAGGATCGTCGTGATGAGCGAAACGATGCACATCGCGTGGGACTCGAGGAAGAGGGACGTGAACACCCCGACGAACGCGAGCCCCGCCGCGACCAGGTGCAGCACGAGCAGCACCGTCACGCCCTTGCCGACGTCTTGCACCAGCGCGGGGAAGCCTGTCAGCGTGAGGATCTCCGGGGGGATCGTGTACCCGAGCATGGGCCCGAAGCACTCCCCCCCACCGGCCGGGTCCAGCGCGCTTTGGGCGCAGATCCCCCAGACCCCGAGGCGGAGCTGCGTCGCGACGGAGGTGACTGGCTGGGACGGGTTCGTCGCGAACTTGATGGTAAAGAGGTATATGCTCTTGATGATGGGGAGCGAGAGGCCGACGAGGAGGAAGAGGACGAATGAGGCGAGCAGGACGGCGCACGTTGCAAGTGAGATGCCCAGATGCCGCGCGAGCGGGCGCGGGTGCCGCCGCCGCTTCTTGACCCCGTCCTGTGAGTCGCTGTCGCGGCGGCGGGTGCAACACAGGAGCTGCGACATCGCGGGGTGCTCGTGGACGTCTTTGGGGGGTTTGTGAACACCGTCGAGCGTGGTGGGGGAGCAGAGCAAAGCGGGATAGCGGGGTCCATGGCATGTGCATGCTTCTAGTTCTACCGAAGCTTCCCTGGTCACTTGAGGAGGCAGCATCAAGCCATGTCGCCTATTTTAGCTGATGTCCACACCATCATCACTCTTGGGAGCGAACAAACTGTCGAGAGCATCGTCGGCGACGACCTGAGGCTCACTGGTCTCCTGCTCATCCTTGAGAATGGCGTACGAACGCCCAGCCGATGTCCTTTCGGGGGCTTGCTGACTCGCTGTTGGTTTGATTGTGAAGAGTCACCGTGCGCGTTCTCTCGTTCACCTGGGCAATCCACTGTTCCTGAGCACCAGAATGTGTACAGCGCCAATGTTTGCCATTATATAGTTCATAGGTATACCCAGGACTCCTTCCCAGCATCGGCGTACTGGCTTGGAGCCAACGGACGAGATGCTATCACAAAAACAGTGAGATGGCATCTATAATCTTCACCTCTCGACTGCATCTTCTCGGGCTCATCTTCTCGGGGCTCCGTAGCAACAAAATAGAGCCAATTCATGACATACCGTGCACTGCATACGCGATATTCCGGAGCGTGTACAGTACTGGTAACATAGTGCTGAGCGCTGAGCGGTCCCACCACTTCCCCTTTCGTAAGGCGTCCTGTAATTGTTCTTCAAACGGCCGTGCATGTGTGTCTAAACGATATGACTGTCGCCGACGGTGGGGGGAAGACGGGTGGCGAAGGCGGGGGCGGGGCGGGACGGCGCTGGCGACTCCGAGGAGGAGTAGGTCCCGTGATCGGAGTTGGGGTATGTCCTGCCAGGCGAGCGTCTGGAGAAAGGCACGCAGGTCCTACTCACCGCCGACCACCTCGATCCCATTCGCATTGATTTCATAGAAATCCCCACTACAGCTCTTCTCGCCCGTACTGCACACCTTCTCTTTATCCATCGCTCAACACGATGATTGCCCGGACCCATGCTCGCAGGATCCCCACCCTCGTCGCTCGCTCGCTCTCTACAGAGCCTGCGACATCGTCCGGCATACAACCCCCGCCTCCTCCCCCTCCCTCACAGTCGAAGCACCCGACCTCCAAGCCGCTTGCCCGCACTCGTCTGAACCCCGCACCGCGGCCTACGGTGCCCCATAGGCACCAGGTATATGCCTCGCTCCCGCCCGCGTTCGGCCGCAACCAGTTCCTGCCGGTGGCCGACTCGACGCGTGCATTGCTCGAGAGCATCGTGGCCAAGTTCGACGCCCCCATCCGGTATGCGTTTGCGTACGGGTCGGGGGTGTTTGAGCAGGACGGCTACCCGACGAGCACCCCCGCGTCGCAGGACGGCCCGATGCTCGACTTCATGTTCGCCGTCACGCACGCGGATCACTGGCACTCGATCAATATGCACCAGTTCCCGGGACACTACCCGCTCGGTGCGCGCATGCTCGGCTCCTCGTTCGTCGCGAAGGTGGAGGAGATTGCGCCGGGGGTGTGGTTCAACTCCATGGTCCGGATGGACGGCGTGGTACGTCCCACCTCTTCCATCCGCACCGCCGCGTGCGTGGCCGCGTGGAACCGATGTGCTCACAGCGTCCCGGCGTGTAGTCTATCAAGTACGGGGTCACGACTGTGGACAACCTCTGCTCGGACCTGCTGAACTGGAAGTCGCTCTACCTCTCCGGGCGCATGCACAAGCCGATCCGCATCATCAAGGACGACGCGCGCGTGCGGCTCACGCAGCAGGTGAACCTCACCTCCGCCGTGCGCACCGCGCTGCTCACGCTCCCCGCCACGTTCTCCGAGCGCGAGCTCTTCGAGCGCATCGCCGGATTCTCGTACGGCGGCGACGTGCGCATGCTCCTCCCGGCCGAGAACCGCGGCAAGGTCGGGAACATCGTCCGCAAGCAGGCGCCGCAGTTCAAGGAGCTCTACCACCGCCTCGTCGTCGCCCTCCCTGGGGTGCACTGGCCCGCGCACGCGGCGACGATCGAGCAGGACACCTCCCCGCACGCGCGCGCGGCGCATCTCCGCAAACTCCCTTCGACCCTCCTCCAGGGCGTCACGGGCCAGTACGCCACGCGCTCCTCGATCCCCCCGCGCGAGGCGGACGAGGCGGTGTACTGGACGAAGCTCGCGGGCGACGCCGGGCTTCCGACCGTCATCGAGCGAGGTGCGTCTCCGTGTCCTTCCTTGCTCGCGTGCTTCGTGCTGCATCGGTGACTGACCACGCCTGGGCAACGCATGACAGAGCTGCACAAGATCGTGCGGTACCCTTCGGCCGTGCAGACGCTCAAGGGCCTCGTAAGCGCGGGCCCGGTCAAGAGCCTCCGGTACTCGTCCGAGAAGGTCCGGAAGTGGTGGAAGGGCTCCGGGACGGATGCGGGCTCGAAGCCATAATCATGATTGTCCCGTGGCTCGCGCTCGTGCAGGTCGCGGCGGCGGCGAGGCTCGCAAACGTCTTTGTCGGGGGGAGGGCGCGGAGCTGGCATTCTGGCATTCCGAGACATCTCACACGGTATATTAATCATACACTTACTTAGACAACTTCGTGGTCTGGCAGTTGTATCAATAATATTGCGCATCGTCTATACACACACCACTTCAACTCGCTTTGCACGGCGTAGATATTGGCGGTACAATATTGATGTCTTGCAGGACTTCTATACAGATGCTTCTTATGGTTTTTTTTTACTCGAAGGAGATTTATTATCACAACCTTACTGATATACCACAAGACATCGAAGTATCGTCGGTACTAACTCGCTACTAGAGAGACCCCCCTATAATTTCTGTACTAAAACATAATATATAAAGTTCTTTACAACCTTCGATAGCTCAGCTGGAAGAGCGTGGGACTGTAACTGGAAGCCCACTTATCCCAAGGCCACCGGTTCGACCCCGGTTCGAAGGATTTTGTTTCACCGTTTTCCCAACCCGTTCCTATGCCATGTTACCAATCGGGCGATGTTGCGCTCGTCGCTACCAATATTATTTAACGGAAAAGTCTAGCTAGAGGCTTCTCGTACAGCACTCATGACAGCGAATGTTCATTTAGGTTACTACAATCTCACTGCGACGGGCTGGGCCTGATAGCCTGGGCAACAGGCCACTTGTCGTAGTAGCCAGCCAATGGCAAGCCCATCGGGGCGTAGCTCGTCCCGTCGCCCTGTGTGCCGACGTTAGCAGCGTGGCCTTCCTTGCGACGGAGCGCTAGACGTACGATGAGCCCGTTGGGGAAGCCAGGGTCGAAGGGCGCCGCGCCCTCGATCCTCTTGATGTGCTCCTCGGAGAGCGAGACGCTGAGGGCCTCGATGTTCGCGTGCAGGTGCTCGACCTTGCGCCCGCCGACGATGGGGAACACGAAGGGCACCTTCTGCATCACGTATGCGATCGCGACTGCGCGGGGCGGAAACGGGCGTCAGTGTATCGTGCCCCCACGGCGCAAGAGGGGAGGAGCGGGAGTCAGGCTGACCGGCTTGGACGTTGGACGCGCCGACCTCGGCCGCGACTTCCTCGAGCACCTTCGCGGCCTTCCTCTGCGTCTCGTCGCGCTGCCAGTCCATGCCCGTGATGGGGTTCGCACGTCCTGCGCGAAGGGGGCGTGTCAGTAGCAGTCGTACGGCATCCGCTGGGGGACAGCGTCCTGCATAGGGGGACGCGCACCATTCTCGCCCGTCTGGCGACGGCGCTCCTCCTCTGCGTCCGAGCGAATCTTCCCGCCCGCGAGCACGTTCCAGGGCGCAAGCGCCATCCCTTGCGAGCGCGCCATGGGGATGATCTCGCGCTCAAAGTCGCGCTGGAGCACGTTCCACGCGCCCTGGTAGATGACGAACGGCGTCTTGCCGGTCAGGCGGGCGTACGTGTTGGCCTGCGAGACGACCCACGCAGGGGTGTCGGATATGCCCTGTGCGGGTGCTCAGCGGCGTAGCCAGGAAGTGCGGTGGGGAGAGAATGCGTACCAGGTAGAGGACCTTCCCGGAGGCAACGATGTTGTGCAGACCGTTCATGACCTCCTCGATGCTGGTAGCCCAGTCCCACTGCGATTGCCATGTCATCAGTCAGTGATGGCGCACAGAATAAACGAGCATGTACGCACCCAATGAACGTAGAGAATGTCGATGTACGACGTCCGGAGGTTCTTCAGGGACTGTTCGATGGAGATGTGCAAGGACTTCAGGCTATTGCCGACGTATGACGACTTCTGCTTGATATCGTCCCTGCCTGTCACGAACAGGGTAGAGTACTGCAGACGTGAACCCGTCAGCCTGGTTTAGAGAGAATGATGCGACTCTCAAACCTTCGTCGCGATGACCATCTGGTCGCGAATGCCACGCTCTTCCATCCACTCGCCGATGAACTTCTCCGACGTGCCATCCTGGTAGTTGTTTGAGGTGTCGATGAAGTTGCCGCCCGCGTCGTAGAAGGCGTCAAGCAGCTTGAAGCTGCTCTCCTTGGACATGTCTCCTAGCCCGAGCTTGTGCCACTGGTCGCCGATGCTCATCCCGCCGAGGCATAGCGGGGAGACGTGGATGCCGGCGAGACTGGAGAGCTGGCGATGGTGGCCGAGCTTGGTTTGGGGCAGAGGTAGCGGCGCGAAAAATGACATGGCGGGTCTGTAATTTGGGGTTTAGGACTAGAGCAAAGGATTCAGGACTAGAGTTAGGATGCGAGTGGGAGATGGTGAGCATACCTTGAATATCTCCTGTATATATAGCATCTTTACGAGGCGCTGACCACGCCGTGTGCAGAGAAGGCGCGTCACCGAGCTCAGATCATACGAAAACGCGGGGAGATCGCTCCCAAGGTCTTTGGCTTGGCCCGAAGGGCCGTCCAGGAGGCAGTACGCTGCCGGGGAGGTGACGCGGCTGTACGGAACGGATATCTTGCATTCCACTACGCTATCTGGTGTGAGATCTGGGAGTTCCACTAGTAATCTTTGCTTATGATTGGTGTGTGAACTGATGCACGCCTGCAAGAGTATATCCAGGAGAATATGCGTTCTTCTTGCCATTGCTTAAACGGGAGTAGACGGCGGCGCTGCACGGGAAGCTTCGCAAAGAGAGTGCTGCAGTCTGTGTAGAGCTTCTGGTGGCCGAAACGTGCTTTACTGTCCACAATGATGCATGAAACGTTGAAGGACATACGAATACCCACGGCACATACAGTCCGCAGTGTGCCGTCCATACACGCGTGCGTATCCGCAGCGCCAGTCTAAATGTCGGCTCCGGCAGTAGCAGATAGGCAAACGGTGTTGTATCCCAAACTAGAGACCGACTGCAAATCAATAGACGTCGTGGCGGAAAGACAAGAGGTTGCGGCACCGCTCGCCGCTTCGAACGTGTCCCTGTTCGAGGACCCACAATCCGGGCTGCGGGCCGCTCGTGCCGAGGAGTCGCGTTGGAAGTCGCCGCGACCGTGACGACCTTGCGCTCTCTCCTTCCCCCCTGCTCTGGCCCCTCCCGCCTCTTCTCCCCACCCCGCCCACGATGGACGTCGACGACAACACATCACCGCCAGAGCCGCGCTGGCTCGACACCGTCGAGGGCGAGATCGCCTTCTTCCGCTCCCTCATGCGCGCGCGCCCCGTCGGCATCCACCGCCACTTCCACGTCCTCACCATGCGCAACGCCATCCTCCGCGACACCGGCCAGCTCGTCCCCATCGACCACCTCTGGGCGAAGCTCCGTACCTGCTACGACCTCGACATCCTCGAGAGCATCGTGAGTCCTGCCCGCATCTCCGCCCACCCCCGACCATTGTTCACAGGCCGCGCGCCGCCTCTTCTTGAACCCCGCACGGTCGCCCCGCCAGGAAGCAGATGGGTACCATCTCCCGGGCGAGAGCCCTGCCAGCACGCCGCCCCTTCCCGTGCGCTCGCCGTCGCCCTCGGATAACCTATCCATGCACCCTTTCTTTCGTCACGAGTACACCCTACCACAGGACGAGACGCTCGATGCGCTCGTTTCTACGCGCCGCATGCGCGCGTCGGCGTCTCTACCCTCCTCGCCCCCCGCACCATCACCTGTCACGCATACAAAGGCCGGGCGCGGCGGCCGGAAAGGCAAGAGCAAGCTCAAGCACATGGCAGGTTTGGTCGGCGGGGACAGCGACAGCAGCGCGCTAACGCAGGAGAGCGGCGACGAGAGTGTGGCACCGACTCCGCGAGACAGTATTGCGACAGGAACTGACGCAGGCACCGAGTACGCAGAAGACGAAGAGGAAGCCAGGCAATCCCCAGGTCCGTTTCCTCACTTCATGTGCGCGCGCGAATGCACGCATTAACTGATTTGGCCTACTAAGCTGCCTCAGCAGCCTCCAAACCACCTCGGAAGGGTGCGAAAGGTTCAAGACGAGGATCTGGTGGCGCTCGCGGAAGGGGTGGGTCAACAGCAGGATCGCGAGGCACGAGGAAGAAAAAGAAGTAGTCCCACAGCTACAACTTTCCGTCACCGTACTACATGTTGTATATACCTTCTGTAACATCGTGCTATTTTTATTAGTGAACTGCTTTGCTAGACCGTCGAGGGTCGAACTTGTCCAAAAGAAGGGATATGCATAACCCATGCGTGTGATCGCGTGGTCTGTTCTCGTTTTGACGACATGGCATACGCATACATATGAAGACAACAGCGCCCACGCACGGCGTTGCAAGTAGAAGGCATGACTCCCGCCTACACTCCCATCGCATAACGACATCCAATCGCTCTGAGCGAAGGAGAAAGCTTACGCGCGCGCAGCCTCGATCCGCCTGCGGGCGACTTGCCGCCTGTTGAGACCAGCGAATGATGAGGCAACAACGTCCTTGTCCTTGGCCCGCTCAACCTCAGCATCGGACGCCGAGAGGATGATTTCGACGTGACAAGGGTGTCCCTGGTAGGGGTTGATACGACCGTGTGCACGGTATGTGCGGCGGCGGGTTTTCTGTCAAAGTTACATGATTTGCATTGAGCTGAATATGTTCGGGCTCGTGAATGGGCAGATTGCGTACGGGGGCCTGCTGCACAACGATGTTCTTGATATAGAGTTCCTCAACGTCAAGGTTTTTCGCGTCCGCGTTCGACTCAGCGTTCTTCAGAAGGCGGAGGACGAACTTGACGGACTTCTCGGGCCAGCGACCTTACCGTGGTACAGATATAAATACACTAGCATTAGTCTGTATAACTCAAGTATGACGCACCCTGAGTCGCCTTGAATTGCTTGGCCTGGCTCGCGCGGCCAACGCCACCAGCAAATCGGCGGAAGGGAATGATCTGCTTGTGTTCCTTGACGTCGGCGAGGTAGGTGTACGCCTTCGTGAGCTTGACACCTACGACACGAATCCATCCTTCAGCCTCTCCTAGCACCTTCTTCTGGGAATCCAAGTGACTGACCAGTCAAGGCAGCTGCGACCTCGCGCATGTTCTTGAAGTGGGTCCGGAGGTACTCTCCGCGGGCGCGGGAGGCTGCAACCAATTCGCACATACCATTAGTCCATGACAATTTCCTCGCATAAGTTCTTCCTTTCAAACGCACTTTTCTCGGGGTTGGAGGCAAGGGCAGCGGAGGCGTAGCGAACTACACGATGGGAAGTCTAGCATCAGCATATCCCCGTCCCACATATGAGCATAGTTTTGGCCTACGCACCCATCTTGAAGTCTTGAGTTTGTCGTTCCCGATCCGGGTCGCCAGCATCTTGCGGTATGAGGGGGAAGCGGTGGCCGAACTCTATTTTCTATAACTTGCCAGTTGGGTTCGGCGAGTGCCGATATTGGCGCTCATTGTCACAGCCTCGCGTCACGTCACGTCCCCTCCCTAGTGCACCCTGGGGAACGTGAGGCTCGCGAACAGCTCCCTTTCAATGCGCACAGAAACCTTCGAGTTAAACTGCTTCCTGAGATTTGTGTGGTATTTGAATGTTCCCTGGCGCTCCTC